GCATAAAGTGAATGATACACCGTCGCAAAACTGATGTGAATGATACACCGTCGCACCACCGCCTGCTAAAGAAGCACTGCGACGAATGCGGCACCGGCGACGCATGGCAGGCTGGTCATGACGCAGTTATAGGGTGTTGTGTGCCGTCATTGACTACGGCATCAACACCCTCTACGGCGAGGCAGGCACCATCCGCTCGTCAGCCGACTGGCCCATGACAAGCACGCTAAGTGCACCGACTTGGCGCGCGGGGCGCTCGTTCATGGCGCCACGCGATCTTCCGGCATACCCCTCAGTCCCAGTGCTGACACCGGCATCAAACGGGCTGGTCAACGCTCAGGTCGCCGAGGTTGTGGGCGATTCATTTTTGGCCAGTCTCTGGTACCTCGTTTGGCCTACCATCGCGGCCGGGACAACAAGCAGCACGGCCACCCCTTTCTTCTGCAACTTGGTCTGGCCTACCGAGGCTCCCGGCGATGACTGCCCATTCCCACCCCTCCTAGTTCCAGCCCCTCGCAACGACCCTCTCGGGGTGGTCTTGGCGACTGTTTTCAACGACCTCTTCGGGGGTAAGTACCCTTCGGGATGGAACTTGGCCATCATGATCCCTCCCGTCACAACCACGTTTAACAGCACACCGGCACCACTTGGTTCCATCGCGGCGGCATCGTCGGCAAAGGTCTACATCACAGCCTCCACCTCCGGCGACGACAGTCAGCAGCTCCTAGCTACTCTCACCTCTCCGATCTCCTCGCGCATCAATGTGCCGACATTTGATGCGGCAACGGGCACGATAGGTGACTTTGCTCTCTCCGACCTCCACGTCGGTGATCTCAATGCGACATTTGCCCCTGGCGTCGACCATAACACCTTCGTGACCGACTTGCTCGGACAAATTACCGCTCTGCTCAACCAGCCCATTGCCGATCTCATCAGTGAGGTCAATAAGGCGATCGATGCGGCCCTCCCCAACATCAAGCTGCTGATTCCGCCCATTCAGCAGGCGCCTCTCCCCACCCAAGACCTCCACCTCGACCTCACCGACGCGGTCCTGTCTGCGGTCGGCCCAGCCGGAGGTGGTGCGTACCTCATGGGCACCGCAAACCTGGACGTAAGCATCAGCCCGCATGCCTAGTGCTCGCCCCGCCGTCCTTCCGACTTACCGCGTTGACGGCACGCGCGCCGTGAGACCGGCCAAAGAGGTCCGCGTGCGGCCGGAGCGCGGAGGCCGTCGGGCACTGGTACGTATCTGCTCCATGACCATGTGACGCGCACAATATGCGCGCATGCTGCGCGCTCTTTTCCGTCTGCTGCGGCCCCGCTCAGAGCGGCGGGGCTTGGCAGGCGGGGCTTGGCAGGCGGGGCGAGGGAGCGCTGCCAGCTCCGGCGTGCTGGGTCGGATCCGTCCGTCGCGTCTGTGCGTGTACGTGCCGGACGCGGGTGTGACGGGGGCCTTTGTCGCCGGTTGACATGTTAGGGGGCGCCGGTTATGTCTTCTGAGTGGGGGGGGGGGGTCTGCGGCCCCCGCGCACAGCGAGGTTTGGCATTACACAGCCATTTGAAAGAAAGAAAAGGAAACATCGACCGACCCCCTGCGGTGCACAGCCTCCGCCACCGCAAGTGTGACCAGACCCCTGATCACCCGAAGAACCCCCCGGTGGGCGGTGGACACCAAGCGCAAGCCTCCGACACAGCCGACAGGGCCATAACTCCCCCAAAGTGCCCAGAGGCCTCCCCTCCCCCCAGCCGCCTTGCGTACGTGCTAGGCAACTAGCACGAACTAGCTCCGGAGGCTGCAAACAGACGAGATACCACACCCTGCCTATCTTGTTCACCCGCGGCCGGTGTGTGCATGCTGGATTCAGCTGGGCCCGTGCCCGTGGAACCTCAAACGCTCGCCTCGGCGGACAGCCGCCGTCTTCCACACCGGCATGGCCGGAGAGCGTGCTCAGCCCGCCGGCATAGGGATCGGCCCTGTCCGTAGCCGCCCCGCCGCGCCGCGAACCAACTCGCACAGCGCGCCTACGCTCACAGACTTCGACTGTACGCGGGAGATCGCTCATTCCGTGGCCATATCATAGAGCGCGCCCGAAGTGGACACGATGACGCGCTCGGCCGTGACGGCAATTCCCCAGAGGCGGGGCTCCGGAGAGCGGCGCCGGCGCCTCTCCCCGCCGCCGACAGGCGCCCTGAGTACAGCCGCCGCAGCCGCGCCAGTTGCCCGATCGAGCGCCGGCTGCACGATCGCGTCGGCGGCAGCGGTGTCCAACTCAGCGTCGGCGGCCGAGTCGGCCGCCGCGCCGAGAAGTGTGATGCAGCGCGGCTCGCCCTGCGCAGTGAGCACCTGTCCACTCGTCGCATGAGTGGGTTGCACACAAAGGAGCACCGCCCCCGGCCCCCCGCGCGTGTGTGTGAGCGCCTGCACTCTCGATGGGAGCAGCCGCCTCTGATGGCCGAGCCCCGCCTGTTCGCAGCCCGAGGTGTGAAGTGGGCGGGCTGCACGAGGCGACGGCGGAGCGGGCAGGAACTTGTAGCTGCCTCGCCGCTCTCTGCGACGAACACGAGGAGGTCCCCGCCGCGCCCCTCCCCGACCGCGACGCTACTCGGCCCGGCAAAGCGACCGGGCGCGGTGCCTGACGGAGAGTCCTTTCCAATGAGCTTGCCGTTTGCGTGTGTGCTGCGTGCTGGAGGGTCTCCGGTTGGCAGCACGGCTGAGAAGAGATCTATGTGAAACCACCCGGCGCGCCAAAGGAGCGCAGAAAGTCGCCGCCGAGCGAAAACACGGCGACGCGGCACTCGTAGTACTCACACACAAACAGCTCCTCGCGGGAGCAGGCGAGCGACCTGCTCGCAAACACCTCTGCTCACGCCTCGACAGCTCCCCATCCGTACGCGCGAGCAAGCAAGTGCAGGCGAGCGACCTGCTCGCAAACACCTCTGCTCACGCCTCGACAGCTCCCCATCCGTACGCGCGAGCAAGCAAGTGCGACCACGGTCTCGCGACTCGACGCGAGAAGCGGCGCTTGCTGTCCGGGCGCAAGTCACCTGCGCAAAGGACTGGGGCCTGGGCTTGCTTCGCGAAGAGTTGTATGCATGGCGGCGCTCGGCTTTCTCGCCGTCAAAGACGCGAACGCGGTCGTTTTGCGTGTCGGCGACGTACACGCGCGGCGCGCCGCCTTCCTCGTCCGCCGCGGCCAGCGCGAGGCTCTGCGGGCACGAGAGCGAGAGTGGGCTGGTCGAGGCGAGCACCGCCCCTGTCAGGGGTGGAGAGCGGTGAGAGAAGGGGGTGTAGCCCTGCTCGGTCCTTCTTTGGAGAGTGGTGAGAGAAGCAGTTCTCGAGGCTAGCTGTGCTGCGGACCGTCGGAGAGACGGATGCGCCGAACGCGCGAACGGTCCACCTGATCACAGCCGCCGGTGTATGTTTCGGCAGCCCGCTCTCTCCTAGCGAAGCGCCGCTCTCTCCACCTCGCAGACATACACCGCCGAGCCGCCGTCGCACGCCACGGCCCGCACCGCGCCCATCGGGCAGCAGACGTGCAGCGCGTCCGCCCGCAGCCGCCGCGGCGAGCACGCCTCCACGCTGCGCACGGGCGGGTGATCCGGGCAGCCGACGCTGCGCACAAAGCCGAGCTCCGCTTGCGAGAGGTTTACCACGCGCCGGTGCCGGCTGTCGCTCACCCAGACGCTGCCGTCGGGAGCGACGCACACGCCCGCAGCCTCACCGAGGCTGCAGTGCCCGAGGATCGCGTTGCCGCCGACGCCACGCGCGCCTTCGACCCTCACCTCGGTCCACATCCGGCGGAGCTCGCTCGCGGCGAGCCGCCAGGCGGAGCAGACGGCCGCCGCGCGGAGCGCGTGCCGGAGGCCGAGAGCCTCAAACGTGGGGAGGAGGATGTCCGGGTGGAGGGGGTGCTGCGTCTCGGCCATTGCAGGTGGGGCTGGAAGTGTCGAGGTCGTCGAGGGTGGCTGCTGCTCGATCGAGGGTGCCTAACCATGACACTTGAGCACTTGAGCCATTGGAGAGGGTCGATTCCGCATGGTACGGGACCCCTCGATCGTCGGATACCCATCACTGAGCCGACGATGCTATGGGTAGCCCCAGGGTGGCGCCCACCCCCATACCCTCAGGCACTTGCCTGCGCCCTGCCCGCGCACGCCGCGCACGCGCGCGCACGCCCGCGCACGCCGCGCACGCACGCGGCACTACGCCCGCGCACGTGCGCGCACGTGCGCGCACGTGCGCGCACGTGCGCGCACGCCCCGCGCACGCCCGCGCACGCCCGCGCACGTCCGCGCACGTCCGCGCACGCCGCACTACGCGGCACTGCCCAGGTTCCCTCACGCTCAGATTCCCTCACACTCAGATTCCCTCACGCTCAGATTCCGTGCAAGGGGGTGCCGAGGTATGCCACAGGCCGGGATGGAGTGAGATCTTGCGGGGCAGGGCGTGGGCTAGTGCGCGAGGGCGCAGGCAAGTGCCCGAGGGCATCTTAGGGGACCCCTAGGCTTAAAAGTAGGGCCCTGGGGCGCCTGCGGCCTAAACGGCTTAAAACTTGCCATGGCACGCCCCGGAGCCGCCGAGTCATCATGGGAGGGGCGACGGACCCGCTCCTGGCCGCCCGCGGCCGAGCACCGAGTCGATGGCGTCCGCTCGGGCTGCTGGGAGCGGCCCTCGCGGCCTCCTCCATCATCGGATACGCCGCCTCGCGGGCCGATGCGACGGGTAGCGAGCGACTGGCACAGGCGCCGCCAACGTGGAGCTTGCTGAACCCCGACCCCTCGCTCCTCGAGTGGAAGCTCATCAAGCCGCGGCGCGAGCTGCACCGCTCGGCGAAATGGAGCGGGGTCGGGGACGAGAAGGTCCTGGTCGGCTACCTCCGCGTGCCGCTCGACTACGACGAGGGCTCCGCGGCGAGCCAGGTACACCTCAGGCTGCGCGTCACCGTCGTGCTCACCGGTGCGAACGACGACGTCGTGTTGTACCACTGCGGAGGGCCCGGTTCCACCGACAGCTGCGCCTTTTTTCAAGACGGGTACAATGGCACCTTCCACTCGCTTGGAATTCAGCAGCGCGGCGTCTTTGACGAGGGGGGCTCGTACTCCGAGGGCGTAAACATGAGCGTGCCCGCCAACCCCGACGGCCAGCCCTACTTCAACGACTGTCCCGAGGGCGAGCACCTCGCGGCGCCAGCGCTCGCGGAGGGGAGGGTGCCGACTCTGCGCGAGATGACGAGCTGCACCTGCTGGGTGCCGGGCAGGAGCTACTACCGCCGCGGCGGCGTGGACCCAAAGCCGCGCCCCGATCCCGGCGACGCCCGCGAGGTGCGCACCTGGTTCGAGTTCTCCCGCGCCCGGAACCGCCGCTGCTACGACCACGACTACTTTCAGCTCTCCGGCCCAAACGGCACCTCCTTCAATTTCCTCGATTACGTGGGGACGCAGCTGCTTGCCAAGGACCTCCGCCTGCTGCTCCGCGCCATCGGCGCCGAGACCCTCAACATCGACGGCGCCTCGTACGGCACCGGGGTTGGGAGTGCCTTCGCGGCCGCCTTCCCGGAGCACACAGGCCGGCTGCTCCTCAACGGTAACGCGGTTGTGCGGCCGAGCACGAAGGACTACTACATCGGCTACGCGCACGCGACGCGGCACATCCTCTTCAAGCTGGGCAGCATCTGCGAGGAGATGGCGGACGAGCGGTACTCCTTCGAGCTCCGCTCGCGCGGCGGCTCGACGCGGTACGAGCTGCCGTGCGCCTTCAGCGGCGACGACGTGTGGGAGAGCCTGGTGGCGAAGGCGAACGGCGGCGCGCTCGCCGCGTACACGAACGCGGGGCAGCGGTACGTCGTCACGGCGCCGGCGCTCTGCTCCTACGTCGTCGGCGAGATCCAGGGCGCCGAGGCGGAGGACTCCGCGCCGTGGCGGACGGCCATCAGCGTGCTGTCCATGCTGAGCAGCGAGCACGCCTCGTGGGTGGAGGTGTCGAGCGAGCGCGTGCTGAACAGCACCTGCGGCCCCAACTGGATGCTCCACGGCCACTGCACCGACGCGTACAAGCCGCCGTTCACCGAGGTGGCCGTCAACGCCCTCGACTACGAGGGGCGCTACTCGATCGCGGGCGCGATGGACCTGTACCAGTCGCTAGTCCGCAACTATGGCCCCGTCGAGGTGGGCGTGGCGAACGAGAACGGCTTCGACCTCCTCACGTGGCCGGCGAAGCCCACGCCGCCCGTCTTTGGCTGGCGGGCCGGTGTGCGCGCCCTGGTCGTCAACTCGCTCTACGACGGGTCCACGCCATATCTCGACGCGCGCTGGATGCGCGCCTCCCTGCCCGACGCGACGATCTTGACGTGGCAGGGCGTCGGCCACTGCGTCGCCTCGGCGGACTACGACCAGGAGGGAGTGCGCGCCTGCCTCGACAAGATGAGCCGCTACATGCGGACGGGCGAGCTGCCGGTGGACGGCGACGTCTGTCGCACCTCGAACGCCGTCGTGACCCGCGCGCGGGCGCGCCGCCGCCGCGACGAGCTGCTGGCAGAGCAGGGCGTCTGAGAGCCTCCCCCGCGCTCGGAGAGCCGTACTCGCACCGCACCGCGCGCACACACGCGCCACATAATTGTTAAATTCGCTCTGCCATCGCGCCGCATACGTGCGAGACGCGCGCACTGTGCGCGCAGGGCGCAGCCGGGCGCGGCACAACACGCGCTGCGCGGCTCAGCGGCAGCGCCTCGCACCGCCTGCTGCGCCTTAGGCCTCACTCGTGGAGACTCTTGTTCGTTCGCGTTGTTGCCCGGGGGCCTCTCTGCTCTCTCTCTCTCTCCACTCGACTGACGTCTGACGACGCTGGACGCTCTCGCGCGTCGCACTCGGCGCGAGTCGCCGGCGCTTGGTCGTTGGGCCGGTTGCGGA